AAATAAATAAACACAAGCAGTAAGGCCAGGTGTGGTGGCTCACTCCTCTAATCCTAGCACTCCAGGAGGCCAAGGCACATGGATCACATTAGCTCAGGAGTTGTCTCCACTAAAACTAGAAAAATTAGCTGGGCCTTGTGGTGGGCACCTGTTGTCCCAGCTACTGGAGAGGCTGAGGCCAGAGGATCACTTGAGCCCAGGAGTTTGAGGTTGCTGTGAGCTAGGCTGAAGCCATGGCACTTTAGCCTGGGCAACAGAGTTAGACTCTGTCTCAAAAAAGCCAAACCAAAACAAAACCAAACCTACACACACACAAGCAGTTTTTGTGGGCACACAATACATTGCCAGGTGAGCTGATTTCACGCTGCTTACAAATTGCAAGTGTTGTATCTGAATGTTTCTGAAAGCACAGTGTAGCTATTATGGCAGCTGAGTGATTAGTAGTCACACAGAATAATAGTTCTTCTAGTCATAATATACTTCACAGCTGTGTTCATCGTTTTACATGAGAACAGCACACACTCGCCAGGCGGTGAAAAGGTATTTTATTATTCTTGTCAACCTTAACAATTACTGAGAGCAGTGAGGCCTTTCTTAGCTTGTATGGAATTCAAACTCCTGATGTCTTATAAGGCCACCAGGTACCTTTCATGGTAAAAATTAAATTGGACCCACAGGCAGGGTGGGTTTGGGAGTTTGCTTCCTTAATGTACTTCGTTAAATACTCAGCCAGGGTCTTGCAATTATTCTATTTGTAGCATCACTGTCATCCAGTCTCTCCCTTAGGAATTCATTGCCTTCGGGATCAGCAACATCTTCTCGGGATTCTTCTCTTGCTTTGTGGCCACCACTGCCCTGTCCCGCACTGCTGTCCAGGAGAGCACAGGGGGAAAGACACAGGTATGAAGCAACAGCTTGGTGATACCAGTCTCAAAGAACAAGTCAGGGGAATGGCAGCTCAGAAAGTTTTGCACAAAAACTGAACAGGACAATTAGCCTTGTGTGTCCCTATCTGATTCACCTGGGCTTTCTTATTCCACCCCCCTGCTCATCTAAAACCTCTTAAAAGACATTTATGTTTTTCTGATACAGCAATTCTCACATCTCTTTGTGTCTCTGCCCACCTGGCAGATGGCTACACTTACCTGCTTTTCCAACGTCAGAGTCTTCTCTGGGGAGAGAAAGGACCTAGTAGAGCACTTCATGACTTTGTGAGTTGTTGTATTTACAGGAAACTGAAAAGCTCTGATCACATTTCCTTTACAAGGATCAGGAATTTCCTCCAGAGGCCTTTGGTCCCACAGAACACCAGTTTACTAGCCAAGAATATCTTTGTTGTAACATTTTTGGCATTTCTTCCTGAATAGGATTTTTTCCCCAGAGTTCTAAATATGATTTTAATCTTATCTTTTAAATGTGGTTTTCCACTGTTACCTTTACAAGGTGACCATAAAAACAGCATCCCGCTTAATCTCTGGATATTTCCCCTTCAACAGTCAGGAACCTCAGGAGCCATTCTCAGAGGTCACCCTTTCCAGCTGGATACCCAGTCAGATTTGCCAAACTAAGTGCTTCGGGGCAAGGGACAGACTCAGGAATTGTTTCTGTCTGCTGAGCACTTTCTCCTCCTAACACAGAAAGAATTATTGTTTTGTAGTAAAAAGTATATTGAGACTATAAAGGAGAACAACAAACCCAACAACATAGTGTGAAACACACACGCAGAGTCTTTGATTGGGTTTCGTGAAGGCAGAGACACTTACAGATAGGTATAAAAGAGAATCAGAAAACTAATGACTCCGATAGTGGCTTGCCCAGGGAGAGCTTTAATTGTCCCCGTGGTACACAGGGTGCTATTTTTAATGGATCTTGTGACAGATTTGGAAGAATTGGCCTCTACTAATTTCTTAGCCCCTCCCCCCCTTTTTTGCAGTTTTTGG